GCCCAGGTGCGTTGCACCGGCTGCACCGTCGATAGTTACGCCACTGATATGAATATGCTTAGTAAAAATATCTGTTTTATCATAGTATACAGTAGATACAATTTAACATTTCAAGGTGTGAAGCTTAAGCACTTCACAGGTGAAATACAATATAATTATTAAATTAAAATAACTATTTGCCAGGACTTCACTGCTTAAAAAAACACTTTGGCTGCCGTGGAAAATCAGATGTATGTTCCGCAGCGACGGTAATAGTACCTGTACGTTTGGCCCAGCCTAACCATGCATCCATTCTTACCGCCACTAAGCAGCTAATGTTAGCTAATTGCTATGAGCGCCGCTGCAGCGTGAACTTAAACTAGTGGTGTTACAATCAACACCATCCCAGCAGGAACTGTTTCTAGCAGACGTTGAACTACCGGACACCAGGCTTATGATAATTGATTCAAAAAAGTTTATTTGTGTGGAAGTAAATTGCAATCCATAATCTTGCTACGGACCCCCTGCTTCCCCTCGAGTACCCCTGGGGGTCCCCGTATCCCCGGTTGGGAAACACTTCACTAGGACAACTCTATTTTGGGACAAAGAGACCGAAGATATAAGAAATAGGAAATGAAAGTTGGGGAATTACCTCATGTACCATTAAAGAGCCACGCTCAGTAACAAACTATAAAGCAACACATCTTTCTGTACTGCATGTGTGTCCTTCACATATCTCGAGAATCTGATCTATTTTACCGTTGAAAGTTGTATTGCTGGGGACACAAGGGAGTGCTGTTTTAAATGTGATGCAACAGTCTTAGCAAATCCCTTCTTTACTGGATTCTCTTGGTCCAGACCAATGTGAGTCCAAAGGAGTTGTTCAGCTACTCTTTCTTCACATTAAAGGAATCATTGCCAAACCTGCAGAGCATCTGTGGACAGAGGCACAAAACAAACCTTTGGGATTGTTGATTTTCCATACAGTTTTCCTATGGTCCTCAAAGGGAGCTGAATTGCTGTAGGCAGGGCTTATATTACAAAACTATCATAACTATTGAACGTTTTTCTTCAATTGCGACCACATTTGCTGGACGTGTAGAATAGATAACATACAAATACCAATATATGTGCTGTAAAAGTATTATCTAACTAAAGGAAGGAATTCCTGTTTGTTATCGATTTATGTATGACCAATCAATTTCACACCTTCCAAGTGTTTTGCTGAAGACTGGTGGAGAGGGCTGTGATGTGTGTGATTTTAATCAGAGGGGCAGTTCTCGACAACTAAAACATGCACGCAAGTTGGATGAAAATGTAAATTAATTATCAAATGTACAGGAAATGGTCTGAGAATGAGTGAAGCCATGTGTGTTCTCTGTTTGGTTTTGTAATTGAGCTCCTCCCTGACAAGCCACCCTCATCCATCATGAAGCTGACACTCGTCTGCTTCTCATTTTGTCCCCCCTTACCACTAATCTCTTTCTGTCTCTTTTGGCCTTTTTTAGGTTTTGTTTACCGTTTATATTTTTGTGTGTTATTTTGTGCGCTGATATGCATATGTCAGGTTTAGCAATCAGTCTGGCGCCATCATCTCATCAGCATGCAGGGGTATTGCACAGAGCTCGCACACACACACAGAAACAACCTTGAACAATGAAACTTACAGAGTAATTCCTGTGGTTTCAACCTCACGTCCTCAGATATGACTTTTCCGCCGTGCCTATGGTTTCTCCTGGAGTCGATTTTTTGTTTTTGAACCGAACCCTAAAGTATCCATGACTGAAAAATAGTTTGAGGCCAGAAAAACTGCTTTGTTGATACCTCTTACAGTAGCTCTGATACCTTGGGAGCAATGAAAATGAGCATGTTTCACCAACAGCACTCAATCCTCTAACCTTATTTCTCTTTTTGTTCTGAGTGTGACACATTCATTACAGCATCCCAGGACCACAGGTTACATTTGTACACACAGGGGAGGTGGTTAGGCAAGCTGGATGGATTAAGTGTGGGACAGGAAGGAAGGAAAGACCCGTTTTTGTTTAACCTAAAGGGCACAGGAAGCATGGCAGTTTCTCCACACAAAGGAAACCACAAACACAACGCTTTGGGTGACAATACATTCCATGATAAAGGAGTTCATTCAAAAAATAAAGCAAAAACAAAACTTTTGATTGACATTTATGTCAAGAACCAAGGGAGGGCAGAGAGATAAGCTTAAGTCCCATTGTATAAGAAAATATGGTGGTCTCAGTTATGATAAGGAATCTATTACATTTCTAATAGATCAATACTCAAATAACTTAGAAAAATGTGAATCTTCAATTTTTGTTATGACTATAATTCATATATCTGTAGGTTTGAAGTTATATACTGTCTTTAAACTCTAACACTCAAGCAGACTGCATTTCATATTGGCTGCTGATGCTACAATTCATTTTCTGGATGGGGTTAGTGTGTGCTTGCAAGTTAGCAGCTAACGCTAAAATTAACCTCGTCCACAGCTGGCTCCCATTAGCCTGCAACGACACTGAGAGCCTGTACTTCAACTCGTTCTCTCCGTATCTCACACACACACACACACACACACACACACACACACACACACACACACACACACACACACACACACACACACACACACCATATCCAGTTTCAAAGTTTAACCTGGCTGCGCTATCCTTATGGTTTGGCACTGTCTGTGTTTGAAAATGAAGGCGGGAAAGAGGGAGGAATGGAGGGGGAGAGCGAAACGAGGGAGGATAGAGGCGAGGGAAGGAGGGGAAAATTACGCGAGGGAGTGAGGGATATACCATGGTAACGAGAATGTAAGATAAAAAAGCATAACAAATATAAAGAGGGAAGCCTGGATGAATGGAGGAGACAATAGGGTGGATGTCTATAGAAAAATACCACGAGAATAAAGATACACAAGCAAAAGAAGGGAAGCTGAACGAAATGTGTGTGGGTTAGCTGTGACAGTAATTAAGAGAAGAAGTTGCAACGTACACAGATCTCTGCCACGGCCTGACAGTTGTTGTCTACAGGGAGGTCCAGTGGGATGGAATGATGATGTGTGTGTGTGTGTGTGTGTGTGTGTGTGTGTGTGTGTGTGTGTGTGTGTGTGTGTGTGTGTGTGTGTGTGTGTGTGTGTGTGACATTGAAGCTGGAATCCTTTTTGCAGGATCCTTTTTACACTTATGCACTATTACACGGCTCAAGGCTCTGCACTGGAGCGACTTAATGAAGTTGTACACTTTCTACTAAACAGTATTTCTTGCCTGTCCTTCTATCCTTCATCCATGTAAAGTAAACAAAAAAAGACATAAGAAAAGCCTGAAACGGTGTACTTTTAGTGTCTTTTAGTCTAGCTTCATGAAAAAGAGCGTTTCATATCTGGCGAAACGTGTTGAGAATCGCTGCTTCCCTAACAGAACCACTTTGAAACGGCTTTACATTGACGACTCCTAACCTCATTAAAACTTCATAGTTCTGTGAGCACCATTGAGGTGACAAAGAAGAAAGTATCATGTTACACACACACATACACACACACATACATGCATTCTTCTCACTGGCTGCCACTACACCATAAAAATATTGTGCTACCAAAAAAGCCCATACACACAAACACACACACACATACTTTTCCCAACCATCGTGGCACTTGTGTTAAATAATTAACGGTGTGAGATTAGTCCGTCAGCCTTGGGGCATGGAGGTCCATCGATTCCCCAGAATGCATTCTTAATGAGCCGCCAGCCGGCATTCATTTCAGCTGGCCAGTGTCTGTGGAGGGCCCTCTGATACACACACACACACACACACACACACACACACACAAACACACACACACACACACACACACACACACACACACACACACACACACACACACACACACACACACACACACACACACACACACACACACACACACACACACAAAGGCCAGGCTTAGCGCCAGGGGAGACAATTAACATACACATAAACACAACAGCAGCAGCACCACTGCACTGTTCGGTGGATATCACCTTGACAACAACTTCAGACACATCTTCTGAGCTCTTTAAGTTGTTTAACTTTGAACAAGCAACTTACCAAGAAGCTCAGCAGGGATTTCACCGGTGTGATTGGGATCACCATATCTCAGAGTATGTTTGATGGATAATAGGAGACAACGAAGAGACCACAAATTACCCAGCACACCCTGGTTTACCAGCTCACATTTGCACAACAGAGAGCTGATTACAAACGGATCCCTTTATGTTGTCTTTGTGGACATGTGTACTGGGACCAATCTCTGGGGCTGAAAAAAGTAGCTTTTGTGGAAGTACCAAAAAACAAAGTTTCTTCAATTGCCATTTAAGGGCTGGCTCCAAAAAGGATCAATCTACGACTATTATGTCAACATATCCCATTTAACAACAACAATAAACATGCACTAACAAACATCTATTTAACACCAGTGAGATGGATCCCTCATCTGTTGCTATCCACAAGGTCTCTTTTCTTTTTCCTTGTTTATTGTTGAGTTTCTCTGAACTCTAAATGTGATTGATTTGTCTACAACGTGGAACAAAAAATATAGGTAATTCCTCAGTTCTTGACAACTGTAAATCTAATACACTTTTTATTACTCACCTGTTTGTTTGAATTGGAATAAGGCTTAAAGTTAACAAACACATTGACATGTTCATGAGGTCGAAACTCAACATGGGTATTTATAAATTCACATTAGGTTTTTTGTCTCCATTAGGCGGATGGACTTTCATTTTCATTTCATAAAATGAAAGAGGAAAAGAGAGCCAAAGAGCAGACAAAGATATATGTGTTTCTTCAAATGCTGTCATGTGTTCAAACAAAGGATGAATCAAGCACACATGACTAAAGCCATGAGCAAAACAGCAAAGACATTTTCAAATCCAATCTCTCTGCTGCAACTCAGACCATATGACCATTGCAAAAGGTGAAGAGCAACAGAGAGATACATGTGTGTGCTTATCTTGCACTTGTCCTACCTTTCCCGTCTCTCTCTCGAAGTCAACATATTCCCTCGCAGGAACCTGCCTCTGATCTCCGAGCAGGTTGGCTGCAAAGAACTGTAGAGAGAGGTTTGTACCTGTAGCTACAAAGGCCTGGAGAGGGAGAGAGAGAAAATGGAGAGAAAACAATCTCAGTAAAAAGGACAGTAAAGAGCAGTTTCCAGAAAAGCTGCATTAGTGATATATGACCGTTATGGGGCAGAACGATTCAAATATAAACTCACAGCCCTGATATACTATTTGATTGTTAAGGTATTTTGGCTGATGTCTTAAAAGTCACTTTCATTACACTATCATTTTAGTTCTGTTTTGGTGTTTTAGGCTCTCGTCATCTCACGCCTTGACTACTGCAACTCCCTCCTGGCTGGTCTACCTGCAAATGCCACCCGACCTCTACACCTCTACTTTGCTCCCTTCACTGGCTGCTTCAAGACACTGCTACTGGCCTACCGAACTGTGAAGGGATCAGCCCCTTCCTACATCCAGGCCTTGGTTAAACCATACATTTCAACACGTGCACTTCACTCTGCTTCAGCCAATCTGCTTGCTACTCCATCACTGCTAGTGGGACCCAGGTACCCTTCAAAATCCCGCCTGTTTGGTATCCTGGCTCCTAAATGGTGGAATGAGCTGCAGCAGAAACTCTGCATATCTTCCGTTGCAAACTGAAAACCCAACCTTCTTCGAAAAAAGAAAAGAGTTAGCTTAGGCCTTGTAACTAATTCACCAGCACTAACAATGGTATGACTTGAAGTGAATATATCTGCTCTTTCCTTGTTGTTCAGAGTTTGAATCTTATTTTCTAAATTGTTTAGTTCACAAAATCTTAGTTGATCAAAACTTACGTTGACCAAATAATTTTCTCTTTTTTAAAATGACTCAAATTATGTATTTTATATAATAGTTTTTGGGATAAGAAAACGCAAAGAATGAACACATTGCTGAGTTTCTTTGCCATCACCATTTTGTATTATATTTTTGCCAGGATTAATATTTTAACTTCTACATGCCAGGTTTCCAAATATTTTTGGAGAAATCCAAACAGTAGAGTGGTTGAGTACACTTCAATGTTTTATTCGGGTCTAAGACTGGGAGAGTTAAACATTTTGTCGATCAAAGTTGTTATTTCTCTCCTTTCTTTAACCCCTCAATTTTTCATCTCTCTGCTTGTTCTGACCATCAAATAACCACTTTCTTCTCAAACAGAGTGCAAAAGCACTGTCATGCTCCCCACACAAACACACACACACACACACACACACACACACACACACACACACACACACACACACACACACACACACACACACACACACATAATCACATCATACTGTAGCTTTCCTCTTTTTTTGATTTCTGTAAAATGGCTTCTTGCTCTAATGGGAGGCATTTCCATTAAGATAAACACACACACACACAAACACACACACACTTAGAGAAAAACAAATAAAATAAAAATCAATAGAATGCATTGCCCTGTTGCAGTCAGAAGGCAATGAATTACATCGAGGCAGAAAATCAAGTTAGAAATGTCTGTTTGTGTGTGTGTGTGTGTGTGTGTGTGTGTGTGTGTGTGTGTGTGTGTGTGTGTGTGTGTGTGTGTGTGTGTGTGTGTGTGTGTGTGTGTGTGTGTGTGTGTGTGTTGTGTTTGCTAAGACGGATCAATACTAATGACATTAGGGCTGCGACTAAACTGGAAGCATATGAATTATGCACCCTGTCAAATCAGTGAGAGAACAAGAGAAAAGTGAATGAAAGAGAATAAGGACAAAACAATGGAGAGTGGAAGAACGGGAAATAAAGGAGGAAAAAGCTTGACAATGTGTGTACATGGACACACACAAAGAGAAAAGTCGCTCACACACACACACTCACTCACGGAAACAAGAGCTCAAAGAACACCGAGTCATCATTTGTGCTGTATTTGAAGTATTGGATTACAACCATCTGATACTCATTTGCTGCCTACTACTGCTGGGAGGGGGGGAAAGAGGGAAAGAGCGGCAGAGAGACGAGAGAGATGGAGGGAAACTGACAGACAAAGGAGGATAAAGCATGGGGGAGAAATGAAGGAAATTAGAAATAGGGACAGAAATGGAGGGAAAAAGGGTGACCGTGGTAAAAGCAGCAGATTGTGAAGAAAGTGAAAACGAGAGAGAGAGAGAGAGAGAGAGAGAGAGAGAGAGAGAGAGAGAGAGAGAGAGAGAGAGAGAGAGGGGAAATAACGTTGAGGTATGGAATTGAGACAAAGAATAAGGGGGCAAGGGGACTAGGGTAGTGAACAGAGAAAGAGGGAGATGGTATAAGAGAGGAGGGGGAGACCAGGGCAGCATGGGAATCAATAGTAGTTTGGAAAGCAACTCATCTCTAATGAGCTGAGCTGAAGATAATTTACTTTGAATTATTGTTCCATTTATCAGATCAATCTTGAACAGTTAGAGTCATCCTGTGATTACAGCTACGTGTGTGTGTGTGTGTGTGTGTGTGTGTGTGTGTGTGTGTGTGTGTGTGTGTGTGTGGTGTGTGTGTGTGTGTGTGTGTGTGTGTGTGTGTGTGTGTGTGTGTGTGTGTGTGTGTGTGTGTGTGCGTGCGTGCGTGGTGTGTGTGTGTGCGAACATTGGGGAGATTCCTAATAATAAAAAGCTCAGCTAACATGACAGGTATATGGTAAGAAATAAGGCAAAAACATTTTTTACAATATTGTATCATTATATTTTAAAACATTCAGAATGCATAGAGTTATTGTTCAAAATTCCCTTAGTCAATAATAAAACTCTGTAGAGAAAACCATGAAATGTAAAATAATTTAAATTGTAATAACTTATTACTACTTCCATTTAAAATGATGTCCATTCTCAGTGCATGTGCACGAGAGACTTTCCATATCATGTGTATAAATTCCCTTTTGAAACATGGCTTCCAGACTAGTTGTGATGTCATGACATACACATCTTTAAGTGACCTAAGGCCGCTGTAAAATTGTCGAACAGGTTTGATATCTATCCAAACAACGGACCAGACTGGTATACAGAATTGCACCACAAGGTGTCCCACTTCATTCAATGGCGCGTCGACCATAAATTGGTGGAGCGGCGTGTCGCTAAAATAAGAATAGATGGTCGAGCTTTATGGTCAGTCCACCTTAAGCGAGCCAGGGCTGTTGTCGCTAGCTTCAGGGCTAACCACCTTCACTATTAACAGCAGGTGGAAACCAAAGTACGGGAGTTTAGCTTAGGTCATGAGGAGCTGAAGCATTTATTAACCATCAAATGTACAGACGGGCCACCAGGCTGTCACCAAATGTTGTCTTGCCTCATCACTCCAAAAAATACATGAACTCTCTAGTACACGATGTCTTCCTCTCTCCCAACTCTAATGAAATGTGACCACCGTCATGTTGCCGGCCTCGGCTTGGCAGAAAATCAGGCCAACGCCTGGCCTGTCAGACACTAGCACCTTTGTTAGTTTGTTAATAGACAAACATTATATATTTGTAATCATGTTTTCAGATTGCATTTTGCTACTGCAATACAAGTTGCATTAAGGCACTATGACACTTTCGGCATGTTGTCAATGTAGGATACTTTTTTATTTGCCAAAACGTGTCATAATGAAAACTGCTGGGTCAGCCGTTTGCATAAAATTAAACTGTTAGAGCTAATAGCGAACCTGGCATGCAAAAGCAGAAAACCCCAACTTTAGGTTTACTCTGAGAAAACGTTCCCTCTTTAGAAGGTGAATGTCAAAACGGTCTTTAAGTGTCAAAATCTGCATATGCATCTTTATGCATCCATGTGAAGAAACAACAAACAAAACACTGTATTGACTGAGGAAGGATGTTAAACATTAACAATTCAGTATTATACTAAATGGTGCCCATTTTTTTACAGTTTTTAGTTTTCTGCTCCGTTTCCTCTAAAAAAAGAAGTCTTTGACAGCACGTTCGGGTCTCATTGTGCGGGGTAGTCGTTCACACTGACCATGAAAATAGCAGGCGTCTGGCCGATAGATAAATCAGCAACATGATTTCACAGCTGCCGTCAAACCGTTTAAACCGGGGCCATCAATTTTCACAGAAGAGGCTTATAATACAGTGAGGACAGACAGACGGACGGACGCATCATGTCCCACTAAAATATGGTAAATCTAGATGTCTCCCCCCCCCCCCTCCTCCTCCTGGGATGATGACAGCATGTTTGGGAAAATACCTCGAGGATGACTAAGACAGTAGAAGTCGCCCCCATGCTTGTGTCGTTAGCCTGAAGGCTCTACGCTTCACTTCAATAGAAAGTTCTTAGCGGGCCACACAGAGTAATTAAATAATGTGATTGTAAACATGTCCCATCTTGCTCTTAAGTTATAAACTGCACATCAAAATGCTACGCACTGATTTTTTAAGAAGACAAAAAGAAAAAAAAGAAGACAAAAAAGGTCACACTTGTGGAGGAAATAAAGCTCACCACTGCAGAGAAGTGGAGACAGAAAGACAGAAAGACGTGTTGAAGTCGACATATATCTCCTGGCAGAAGTTACTCTGCAAATGAATGACGATCTTGTAAAATATGATGCATTGTTATATAAACAATCTATAAATGATGCTAACGTGTGCATGAGTATTAATAAACCAGAAGTACAATATAAAAAAATACAATTCTGACAGAGACCATTTTGCCTGCATAACCTACTGCGTATTGTTTTATTTATTTTTTTGATAGATTTTGAAAACGTGATTTTAACTTGTAATGAATCATATTTTAAACAGTAGTTTTCACATTGGATAAAAGAGCTCACATCAGCTCATTTGCTCTTGAAAGCTTCAAATTGAAAATGTGATCCGAGGCAAATCGAAGACGCGGCTAGAGAAGTGTGGTCTGGAAATGGAGGGAGACACTTTGCCACAAACTATCTCTCACTGCAACAACTATGTGATGGCTGCTCCTCTATGGAAACAAAGAGAAACACTGCAGATTTCTAATCCAACACTACACCACATCTAGCTACAAATCTTTGACCAAAATCACAGCAAAAACAGCTTAAGTCCAAACAAAGATAGGACTATGACTAATTATTATTTTCAATATTGATTAATCTGCAATTATTCAATCAATAAAAGTGAAAAAGATGCCTGTCACAACTTCAAACCTGATGTGACATCTTATTTAGTTTTTTTTTAAACAAACAGCTCAAATAAATTCAGTTTACAATCACATTACACAAAGAAAAGCAGCTTATCTTCACAATTGAAAAGCTGAAACGTGATATCTATGCAAGAATAGGATCAATTTATAATCAAAATATTTGCTACTTGATTCAGTGTTTCAGCTCCAAACAAAAATCACGCATTTAAGGGATAGCAGTATTTATAGGGCTACATTGCATTTGTAAGCATCAGAAAGGTGTTGTCTAGTATCTTCCTGTTCACTAACTGTCTATCGCAAATGAGACATGACAGGTAATGTTTATGTTACGGTGCACAATTTTAGGCACAAAATTACAGCCCTAGGAGTGCTGTAAACCATAAAGTGCCTGTTTGTTAACATGTGCTAATGTGTGCTGAGGCGATGATGGCAGCCGCATAACGTAGAGGAAAGAAGTCTGGGTCTGCATGTCTGATAACACGTCTACTTCCTCTTGAAGCAGGGACACATCACACACACACACACACACACACACACACACACACACACACACACACACACACACACACACACACACACACACACACACACACACACACACACAGTGTACAATGTTGTACACTGCTGCGCTGTTCTCATAATAAGAGTTAATGTGTATTTTACATTGGGGACCGCCAGATTCATAATTGCTGTTGAAGATGCTTTTTTTAGGTTATTTCATGAGTTGTGCCAGTGTGTTTTTACTTTATGTAATTTTCCAATTTTTTTCAAAGAGTATACAAGAAAATAAAATGATACATTTAGTTTTCTACTCACTATTTCTGATCGTCCATCCCTGCTAGCGTTCTGGAAGCGAGCTTGTCTCTCCTCATGGGGCCGGTCCCTGAACCCAGTGTATTTAATCTACAAAGAGAAGAGAAAACAAACCTTAAACACAATAAATACATTTATTTTAGTCTACTTCAGGTGTTTGATTTTGGCTAGAAAACACTCCAAATAGATAGGGGATATTTGGCCTTGAATGACGATGCTCATTGCCATCAGTAGGCTGCAGTTTACAGATAAGCCACAGGAATTTTGATTTAAGGCAAAAGGCACCATTCTTTGTCTCTGCTCTTCTTAAAAAAGATCTGTCCAATTGTATGATCAGAGGATTTAAAAGAAAATGGCTTCATTATTTTTTGAGTATATATACAATGAAAGAATATAAGATTAATAAGTGAAAAAGTCAAACAGAAATCTACTTCATAATGTCAGATGGAGACTTATTGCACGTTTGAATTAAACAATTCTGCTTTAGGGATTTTCTTCAACTGTAGATGTTGTAGCACTGAAGTAATGAATTGAAAAATATATATAAAACTTAAAATAAGTCGACAAGCCAGCATGCCTCTTCTTCTAGGTCTGTATTTCCGCCGTCTAACAGAATGGACCCAGTGTAGGAGGAACAGACTCACCTCACACTCCCTGCTCAACTTGCGGAAAAACTCCTCATTCTCAAACTTGCTCCTCTGGTCCGGGACTACCCGCGGCATCTTCACCAACACTTTCTCTTCAGTTTCAACTTGTAGCCAAATCTCTTTTTATTATCCCGCACAGTAAAACTTCAGCTGCTCGTCTTGCCGTCCGTCCCTCATTCACTTCTCTTCCGTGTTTTTTTGTTCCTTGTCTGCAGCAATGTGCTCTCTTACTGCTGCTGCTCTTATTATGATGGTCTGGGTCGTTCTGCGGCTCCTGAGCGCTCCGGGGTCGCCTCTGGCTCCAAGTGGCTCTTTCTGAGTGACCCAGCGCGAGAGACAAAGCTCAGTTTCACCGTGTGGCTCTGTCTCCTCTCCCTCCCTCTCTTTCACTCTTCCTCTATGTCTCTCCACCTCTCTCTCTCTTTCTTCACGAGCGTGTGATCTCAAGTGGCAACGATGCGCGCGCTCTCTCTCCTCTACCTGCAACTTTCAAGTGCCCTCTCCACCTTGGGCCTGTCGATTATTTACGCAATCAATCAAATTGTGACACAAATAGGCCTAATGCATGAATACATATAGTCCATAAAGTGACGTATTACATTAAACAAACAAATGGCACAGATATGTGTGTGCTTTGTTGGCAGCTTTTATTTACATGTGTATCCATTATAAGTCTAAAGTTGCAGCCAACAAATAAATATACATTTCACGTAATTTAGCTAATAAAAATGCCTCTTAATTATGGCTAAAACTTAATGAAAATGAAAAGAAATTGCACAAACAATAGTTTAAAAATACAACGTAACACCATAAAAATAGTTTTGCTCCAGTTCATGTTTCCAGCTGTTGTTGATATGGCAACAAATATCTGTAATCTCTTTTTCATGTCACACTTTGTAACATTTCAGAGGCTCGTCTTAACACAGAGCTGCTAAAATGCAAAATTTCGACAATTCCTAAAGTACGTGAAGGCATCAACAGTCTACTTCCTGGCTCCGTCGAGTCGCTCTTGTGACTGTAAACCCTAAATACCGCCCCCTCCTCCTCCTCCACCCCCCATTCACAATAATAATACTACTACACACGCTACTCGGGGCTGCCACTGCGCATGCGTGACACGGACCGCAGAAACTTTATGGGATCCTTATGTGAGGAGTGAACGAAAGAGGGGAGAGCGTGAAGAGGAGGGGGAGGAAAGACTGTGTTGGTGTTTCAATGATCAACTAAATCCTGCAGTAATCCTAAAAATCCTCCAGATTGTGTGTGGAGATTTGGAGAAGAGGATGTTGTGTAAATATAGGAATGTATCAAGTAGATTTTAGTGTTGTAAGTAATACATTTATAAGACATTTGGTTTTTATTTTCACCTACTTTATAAGAAATATTGTTAGTAATTAAATAAACTCCATCCTGCCATTTTGGAAATGGAAATGGTTTTATTGTCTGTTTTAAAAACTTTCCAGGATATTTTATCCCAGGACATTGAACTCCATTCCTGGTTTACATTTGACAAAACTCACTGCCAACCATTTCATAGGCCTTGTGACGTTTAAAGGAATGTGCTAGCTACATTATATAAATAAATTCCATCCCTTAGACATGTATTAGTGTACTATTGTAGTAGGAACTACAATTTCTTCAAATCGTTAGACTTGGTTCTGGTTCGGTCTCAAGTGGTGCTCTTGCAAAGTGTATCTGTTAAATGCTTTGTTTTTCCCCAGCCAGGGTTTCCCAGCATTACAACTGCAGACAGACGCAGTTAGAAACTAGCTTAAGCATGAAGCAAATAAAGAGCAAGATATTTCCTCAGCAGTTGGTAAAGAACAACAACAGAGCTGAAAGACAGAGAATATTAAAATGATATACATTATCACCAGAAGCACCACTCCAAATAAATGATTATTTCATCCTGTAACTGCTGAATGAAAATAATCTCCTGTTTTCTAGCATGTCAAAAAAGGAGTTATGGCACATGTAAATAACATTTTTAATGCAATAGCGAATAGGCCACTTATGCCTGTAAAAGTGTATACAGTGCATTGTAAGTAAATAACATGAGTTAATACCACTGTACACACATTCTGCTTTTGTCACAGTACTCATTTTGACTTGTAATTTAAATTTGGTTGCTTTGGCAAAATGACTTTGAGATACAAAGCACAAGAATCAAATTATTTAGGGGAATTATAAATTCACTGTAGGAAATTGTTTGAAAAATGTATTTTCTAACTTATTTGAATTTGTATAGATTTGAAATACATTAAAAACCTTTATTCATTCACACACACGCACGCATGCGCACACGCACGCACGCACGCACACACGCACACACACACACACACACACACACACACACACACACACACACACACACACACAGATAATTGTATCTCACAGCACTACAGCTGAGACATATTGGCCCTTGCAACATAATGAGGAATGAATGGTTGATTATGCAATGATCATGCGGACAAAAACACGCCCCTGAAATAGCACAGCTCTTTTCTTTGTATCAACACAAACCTAAACACACACCCACAAGAGTAAATATGACTATTAGACTCCCACAGGAGTTTCATTATCACCTAGACAGATCTTAATTGCACTATGAACAAGAACCTGCAGGTTGAAAATAGTATTGTGTGTGTGTGTGTGTGTGTGTGTGTGTGTGTGTGTGTGTGTGTGTGTCTGTGTGTGTGTGTGTGTGTGTGTGTGTGTGTGTGTGTGTGTGTGTGTGTGTGTGTGTGTGTGTGTGTGTGTGTGTGTGTGTGTGTGTGTGGTGTGTGTGTGTGTGTGTGTGTGTGTGTGTGTGTGTGTGTGTGTGTGTGTGTGTGTGTGTGTGTGTGTGTGTGTGTGTGTGTGTGTGTACATTCAAATACAATTATTCTGAGTTGTGACATGTTTTGTTGTTTGTTCTGCTGGTGTTAGGGCTGTCTGTGTGTTTGGAGAGACTAACTAGTGAAATGCATGTTTGTATCAGAGATCCCATGAGACTACAGAAAAGAAAAAATGAAACGCATAAAACTATAGAAGGGAAATGTTTGGCCAGCCGTTCATTTTAGTGAAAAGATTCTGGTGTGGAGCCCTCCAAAACCAAGCACTCTCCACTCCGAATGGAAAAAAGAACGAACCACTGGATGCCAGAATCGATCAGAATCAAGTATTCAACTAAGACACCAGCTTCCATAACGAACATATACCATAACAGAGGAGACTATGCATTTATTCTTAGAGTGTTCCTAAAACCTAGTATTTTATGTAAGATAGCTATTTGTTTGAAACTAAATATATTGTTCTGCCTACTTGTAGTTCTTCTGTAAAATGCTTCATGTTTTAATCATTGCTGTTAATTTGAGTCCTCAGGCTAGAGCATATGCTCTGAACCCCTTAAAGAAAAGAAACGTTCCTTTTATGACACCCATGTCATTGATTTTTGCCGAACCTTCTTTCATTCAGACGAGGGCTGAGGTTCACACACACAGAGCTCACTTCTTGCCTCAAACCGGCCATGTGTGTGTGTGTGTGTGTGTGTGTGTGTGTGTGTGTGTGTGTGTGTGTGTGTGTGTGTGTGTGTGTGTGTGTTAGCTGCAGGCCAAACAGTGCGTGAGTGATTACCAACAGTAGCTGGTGATGCAGTAAAAGGCTCATTAATTAATCAGATCATCTGTGGTTGCCATGGCGAATAGTTCTGACATGCAGTCTGCTCTCATCTCCACACAGCACACTGAGCACGGCTCCCTTAAGTTCACCTCGTTTTCTTTTAAAGTCTCACATTCTAATACTAATACTATAATACTATTCTTAAAAATAGGTTAACTTTGTCTATATTACCTACTTTAAACACACATTTGCATCAATGCTTACTTTTAAGTGGCAACTTATGAAGTAAATGTCTGTTACACAATGTTATGGCTATAGAATATTGCCGTCTGAGATGAGATTTGTTCCCAGAAAGACTTGCCTTCACTATTATCTCTGCCTTTGGGTGAATCTCCCGGGAAAATCAAGGCTCCATGTACAGCAAAAAAGCTGTGGAAAACCAAAGGCTGTTTGGCCAACTCCAATCAAAGAAGCTATTGCACAACCTCAAAGAGTACTATCATTTGTTATCATGTGCATATTGGTGCCATGATTGTGCATCATTTGCTTAAAGCTTAATTGATGTGCTGGTAAAGTAGCAAGGGAGAGAGCGTGGACCATGTTCACGCTGGGCAGCATTGTGAAAGTGTTACAGTATAATATATTGGAACTTATTTCTTGCTTTTTCCAAGATGTTTTTTGTTGTTGTCAAACAAATTCAACACAGACTGTTGAATGATGTGAAGATGAACTGCACATCTGTGTCAGTGAAAATGTGCACGGAAAGCTAGATTTCCTCTGTTTCCCGGCGCTGGAATAACACTGACACATGGAGGCTGAGTGGCTCTTTAGCTACAATCCGTTGGTTATAGTAAAAGCTAAAGATATTCCTAATTCATTGTGTTGATTTTTGGTAAAAAAAAAAAAAAAAGCCATTCTCTCTAAATGGGACATTCAAAATAGCTATATGAAGAGTTGTATTTTCGATTTTCTTATATTTTGTACCCTTTCAATAAAAAAAACAATGTTTAAGGGGTAGCTGTCTGGGGCCCAAGAAACAAACCCTTCAACTTTCCCTCCTGTAGGCCTACATTAAGTGGATCCAAAATCTATGACATCAAGTCAAACATTTCCAGACTAAGATATGTTCCTTCATTGTAATTCAAGGACACATTCAGAAATATCTTGGCTTTGTTTGCTACTTTAGAAGATGCTGCTGCTGTGGAAGTGGCCTAATAAATATTTAAAATGCATCAATAGCGCAGGAAACGCTAATGATGCTACAGTGACACACAGCTGACTCTAGACAATAAGTGTGTGTGCGTGAAAGTGAAGATGCCATTCTTGACTCATCTCCTTGATGTGTGTGAGGAGATGGAGCAAGAATATAAACAAAGTGACTTGTCATCTGTCTGTCTCTTTGTGTGTGGCTACGTGCTATTTCCTCTTTAATAATGTTCAAAGACACTGTGGTGCAGAAATGAGATGTTCGCAAGTTTCTCGACTGACTGTGGCTCTGACAGAGAAACCAGGACCAGAAAATGTAGTCTACACAACAATTTCTGCAAAAATAGAGCGCCAAAGACGCTGATGCATCATGCATGAGGGATTTGTTCTCAACACATCTCCACTATGCCTTATATCCGCTGTTATATGTGTTCTCAACATCTTTCTCTAGACAAAGAACTTTAACTTCCCGTTTTCTCTGACCAATTTCTGCTTTCCTGATAAGGCAGCAATAAAAGATATTAAACTGTCTGTGATTATGAGGCGTGTTGAGGGTCAGTACAAGTTCAACAGGGCCTGTGGAGCTTGTTGGGCCCACAG